CCGAGTCGAGTATTATTACTCCCAGTATTAAGAAGTAATGCTAATTACTTTGTAACAAATTGTATTACCTTGTGGTAAGATAAACATGTCAAAAATCGTTCCCTTTTGCCGCATATAGTGAAAACAAACACGGTACGTTAGATAAAGTTGTCTGAAATAGCTTGCTCTCTTGGACAGGTAAAAGTGTCTCTAACTGGGTACTGGAATCAAACGTTTACCTTCTATAAGGGGGCCTGGAACAGTCCGCTTTAGCTAGTCAGTGCGAAATATATGCTGCATACATTGTTCAAGGGGACCTGTAAAATTCCTCTTGGCTAGACAGTGTATACGTTGTACAAGGGAACCTGCAAACTTGTRTCTTCTCCACCTGGCATGAGCCAGCAATCATTTTAACTTCTGTCCACCAGTTGGTACTTGCGTGGTTTTGAGGTTGGCGACTTTTGATGCGTAGGACTTTCCGCGACACAGCTTCCGCTCACTATGTGGCGTTTCGCAAACTTTTATAATCCTCAATATTGCCTTGCGCGAAATCTTTTTGGCGTGCCTTCATGAGAGACTTTAACACAGCTGTCACCCAAGGAGAGTCGTCCACATGAAGCTTGATGGTCTTTTTAAAAGGCAGTATGGTGTCTAACCCAATCTTGGCGAGATTTTGAAATGAACTACAGTTTGCTTTGGCAATCAAGAAGTCGGTCTATAGAATGGACAAATCAATGGAGCCAAAATACGATTGGCGTAAGTTTACCTACGGGTGAAAGAACGGCTGTTGTTGCGCTTGAACATCAAATGGACAAATTTCTACGATCGGCTTCACAATATCCGCAAATGTCCGCATTCCCAAGGACACTCGGTACTAGGGTATCAGACATACAGGGATGATGCTCAAGTGAACTGGACAAATTTTCACTCGGMGTAACAATGTCCGCATCACGAAAGAACTTAGCATTCCTGTCAGCCGAATGATTTCATTTTTGGTATGGAGTCCTCCTATCAGCGGATACAATTGCCTTCGGTCAATTTTCTGTCCGGCCTCTCGGTGTACCCTAGGGCACCAAACTGGGAAACCTACCTTTAAACTGAACTTTTAACGTGCTTGTCGACTGAGAAATATTATCAATGTTTATAACAAGGAGATCGCTTACGCCGATCGAATAAAAACTTTGCCGAACAAAAAAAAGAACTTCAATCTGTCCACTTTAATCAGAAAAATTGGCCTTTTCCACGAGCGAGAAGGCCATTTTGAAGTATACAGTCACGCTGATAATTGTCAACCCAGTTCAATGTGACAATATACATGACCCTAACAATAAATTTCACGATTGACTTTGCTTCAAAACAATATATAACATGACTATGTTACCATAAATGCTAAAACCTGAAATTCTCATGTCGTTTGTTTGGGATCCCTGTGTTTTCAGCTGTGCGGAATATCTTAAATACAAAATTAGCGATCGTT